TATATATAAATTGATCTCTATATATATATATATATATATATATATATAAATTAAAAAAACATCTTAATAATCGATCAAATAGTTTATAGAACTTTCCCTTTTGTTGTTTGACACAATATCAATAGTTGCATAAACTTTTTGAACATTTCTTAAAGAAATGATCAAAAAGTTTATGCAACTATTGATACAATGTCGAACGATAAATGAGATAATTTTTCTATTTAATAAGACATATTTTCAAGTTAATGAGTTTCTTTTGCTCATCATAAGTTGAGAAAATATCCAATTTCGGTTGCAAGTGTGTCAATATGAAATTCGAGACTAGAAATATTTTATAGTCAAAATTTGATTTTGGTCATTTTAGGAGGAGAGGATATGACAAAAAGTAGAGCAACTTAATAAGATATCAGAGGCCTAAAGTCTATTTGTTTTAAAAAGAATTCTCAATTAAACTTTTATCTTTTTAACTTTTCTAGATGTGAAGTCATTAATTACTATTTTATAGTCAATTTGTTTTGAAAAACTTTTTCTTAAAGGTAACTATTAAAAGAATTGTTGACATTATTTTATAGCAATATAAGTATTTGAAAATAAATCAAAAAAATTGATTCGATTGTGTATTTCCATCTAATTATTATCTTTTACTTATATTATTTTCTTTATATTTTAAAATTTAAAAATAAATTTAAATCATCAATATCAAAATAATTATTCCACATTTTACGTGACACTTTTTTTTTATTCTGTCTTGAAAAGAATGTTACTATATTCTAATTATAAATAATTTAACTTTAAAGTTCACTTTTTATCCTTAATAAAATGATTTAAAATTACATAAATATTGAGATAATATCTAAGATGGTCACTCAACTTTGAATAACTCACTTGGAAAGTCACTTGACTTAGACTTTTTCACTTAGAAAGTCACTCAACTATTGATATTTCACTTAGAAAGTCACCCAATCAATTTGAGTAAATTTTTTTCATAACAAAATTTAATTTTTATTTTAAACTATATTTTAAAGAAATAATAAAATATCTATTTTAATTATCTTATTAATCCCGCTCCGATTATTTAATTACATATTTTTGAAAAAACGTATAGTAGCAAATGACAAAAAGAATTCCCTTTTCCATTTTAGCCTTTGTCTAAAATAAAACTAAATATGCTGAAATATGATTTTTTTTTTTTTAAAAAAGGTTGGAATCGAGAGTAATCCAACGCACAGTAGCCATCTTAACTTTTTAAAAAAAAAATAGTTCATAACAAAAAATGTATTTCAATAAAATTTAATAAAATAATTAAAATGAGCAACTTATTATTTTTTTAAAATTAAGTTTAAAACAGTAACAGTATCTCAATAAAAATTTGATTAAAAAATTATTTAAATTAATTGGGTGATTTTTTAAAGTAAAATATCAATAAAATAGTAATAATTAAGTGACTTTTGAATTATAAAATAAAATTTAGTGATTTTTTAAGTAACCTACTTTAAGTTGAATGACTTTCTAAGTAAACTATTCAAATTTAAGTTACCATCTAAAATATTATTGCCATAAATAACTAAAAATTCTTCTAAATCATAAGTGTCCAAACTTTTTCTTATTAAGTCAATTGATGTCACCGAACTAGATATAATCCACTTAGAATAACCTTTGGACTAAGCTATTTACACTTCATAATAATAAAGGGATACACACGACGGCAAAGGCAACACGTTAGCATGTAGCTGCTGAGTCATGCAGTTCCCTAAATCAGCTATCTTTTTTCACCACGTTGCATGACAAAATTGCTCACATTGAACCACTTGTCAATTCTCAAGAAATAGTTATCACAATGTTACTCTAAATTCTTTAGTATAAAAGACTTATTTTCTTCTTGTTACCAACTCATCATCATCACAATTACTTCATCAATTATATATTAAACTACAAGAGAATTATAATTTTTGTTTTGTTATCAACAATGGCTTCCGAGCAAGCAAGAAGAGAGAATGTTACTGATGAAACGAAACTCCAACTTGAGAAAGATAGAGTTAATAAAATGGCTAGTCATTTTGAGTCTCTAGCTGATAAAGTTCATGAGGATACAGAAACTTCTCCTGATGTTGTTCATGTCAAGACTACTGTTACTAGTAGTGTTCCTTATCAAGAACATCAAACAGAGAAGCAACGATCATCTGATATAATGGATAAAACTCAAGAGAGGAAGCAACAAGTATTTCAAGAGAAACCAGGCGGTGTTAAATTTGGAGTTCAGGGCCAAGAACACGAAGATTCCGACATAAACAGAGGAAAACAGAGCAAAGGTGGTGCTGAAGAGACGAAAGGTGGTCCATCATTGGAGGAAATTTCTCAGTACAGAGCAACAGCACAGGAGAATTCGATGAACGCGATAAGGGCTGCTGAAGAGCGGTATGAAAAGGCAAAGGAAATGGGTGGTTCTACATTGCAGAATGTTAAAGAATCTGCAACTCATGGACTTGGTGCTACGGGTACTTATGCAGCAGAAAAGGGTGCACAAGCTAAAGACACCATTACTCAAGGCCTGCAAAAGGGAACTCAATATGTTGCTGAAAAAGCTGGAGCTGCTAAAGACGTCGCCCTCGAAAAAGGCCAACAAGCTTATGCTGCAACTAAGGATACCCTTTCGGGTGCCGGACAAACTGCAGCTCAATCAGCTCAACAAGCTAAAGATTACACTATGGAAAAAACAGGGGATACCAAAGATTACACAATGCAAAAAACAGGGGAAGCTAAAGATTTTGTAGCCCAAAAAAGAGGGGATACAAAAGACTACACTTCACAAAGAACAGGGGAGGCCAAAGATTATGTTGCTCAAAAAACAGGGGAAATTCAAGAACAGAGCAAAGGTGCAGCAAGTTATGTAGGAGAAAAGGCAGCACAAGTTAAAGATGTTACATTAGAAACAGGGAAAGGCGCGGTAGGATACGCAGGGAAAGTAGCAGAAACAGTGAAGGACAAAGCGGTTGTAGCTGGATGGGGAGCTGCACATTTCACTGCTGAAAAAGCTGCAGATGCAACTAAAGCTATAGCTGGTGTTACTTCTACTGTTGCAGGGTATGCCGGAGGAACGACGGTGGCCGCGAAGGATTTGGTTGTTGATGCTGGAAAGAAAACAGTGGGATTTGCAGAGGATACGTTGGCTGCTGCGAAGGATTATGTAGTTTCAGCTGAGGAAAGTGCAGCAGAGTATGCAGCTAGGAAAAAAGCAGAAGCAGAGAGAGAATTAGAAGCTAAGAAATTACAAGAAGACACCAAGGTAAACAAACGGTAATTGGGTTTTTTCCTCAAGTAATTAGTGTTGATTAATGGTTCATTTTGATTATAGTTTTTGCGTTATGAATCTTGTAATGTATTTTAAACAGGGAGAAAACAGAAGAGGGTTTATTCCAGGAGAAAAGGTTGAAAGAAGAAAGGAGAAAACAGAAGAATCCTACTTCGAGGAAGAAGAGGAGTCGGGAGTCGGAAAAGAAAGCAAGCCGGTGGAAGGTGCAGCGGTGGTGTTGCAAGCCATTGGCGAAACTATAGTTGAGATTGGGAAAACAACTACTGAACTTGTTGCAGGTCGCGGTGGAGATGAACCAGTTGTGGGAATTGAGAAAGAGTCTACTACCACAATCAAGAAAACTTGAGATGACATATATCGTTTCGTTTTGATTTGGTTTTCGATTGGTTTTGTTTTTCTGGACTATTGAATAATAATTAGCATAAATCGCGTAGACTTGTGTACTATGTATGTTCTCATGTTAATAGTAGTGTTGTTCTCTTGTCACATTTAGCCTTATTATAAGGCGACTCTACGATGTATCGTTTCTCCTTATGAACAACAATTACCAAGCATTGGGAGTTGATAATTGTTTACAATGGGGATACAAATATGTTGTTCTTAATGGGATATTGATGGTTGTCCACAAAATTTCGAAAGTTAATATAATTAATTTTTGATGTTTAATTAGATTATATTAATTTCATATATTTTAAACAAAAAAAATTAGATGATGAAAAAATACAATTATAAAATGTTAGCTAATTTTTTTTTTTATAGTTTAAATTTAAAAAAGAAAATTATGACAATTAAAAATGGACGGAGCTACTAATAATTAGTGTAGTGCAAGACAAATTGAGGGAGATATCATTAAACTTTAAAAATACTTGGATCAACATATCGATATAGAAGCAACGCACAAGACAAGCTGGCGTAGCGCATGGCTAATTCACCATACATGCACACTATCTTGCACAAATAATAGACATATTTCGATTCTCGAAAAATTATATTATATATTTATATTTTGAGAAATTCTTAGGTTCTTGAATTATTAAGGAAAATGTAAATAATTTGTGCGTTGAACATAGTATTTTACGATCAACTTTTTTGGCAGTATTTCACAAAATAAAATAGAAATATTTTTAACCCAAAATAATGTATAAAATAAGTTATAATCCAGTTCATATCCAGATAGACTCTAAATTTTTGTGATCTTAAATTAAAATCATATACATCTATTAGTTGTTTTGGTCTTAATTAAGTAAATCGTATGAGATATTGAAATTAAAGAATTGCCAAACTAGAAACATATATTTTAAAAAAATAAAGGGAAAAAGGACAAATATATTTTTGAACTTTCGAAAATGATATGCCAATACCTTTCGTCATACTTTTCATTCATCAAAGTTCTTGCCGTCCAATAATAAGTACATATTTACCTCTCCCACTAATGGAGCACTTATTGTGTACACGTGTTGCAGTCCTATGCCACAACGCGGTTAACCAATTTTTTTACCCAAATTTCAAAAATCCGCCCATAACCCAATTATTAACCCACTTGATTTACCCACAAATAAACTCTTTAAAATCCCAAAGAAAAATCTTAAAGTTTATTTATTTATGTTAAACTTTACACGCGTTTTAAATTTTTTGATTATAATAAGAATTTTATTGTAATACTCCTATTAATTAATGGATTGTTTTTGTAAAACTTAATTTTTGAAATTATTTTTCAACAACTTAACATACTAATCACTTTCCATTAACAATGTGGGTCCACATTTTCCATTATTCTTTTCTGTAATTCTTCTTCTCTAATTCTTCTGTTGATTTCTTCAAAATTCTTCTTCTACTGTTCCCCTGGTTCCTGCAATGAAGAAAAAATGGAAATTTCATGGAGTAAAAGGCATCAAAATCATCACCTCCTCCGATGTTGCCGCCGCCGTCTTCTTCTATTGCTCCGCCCTTTCCTTCCCTTCTCCACCACCTCCCCACCCAACCTACTCCTTACCTGCAACTTCTACAACACCTCCGCTTTCCCGAAACCCTTATCCTTTACTAACTCCTCCTCCCCCACCCAACTATTCGCCTCCTTTCAATTCGAATTACCATTTTAATTTCAGTCAGTCCAGTTATGGTACTAGATCTGTAATCTATCAAAATCAGTATCCTCCTTATTATCATTCTCACAGTAATAACAGATGGGGTAGGTATCGGCCTCCGCCGCCACCTCCACCACCCGTTGTCGGCAGTGCCGTATGTGGATTATCAAAATGCGAAGAAGATTAAAAATGATATTAATGTTCATAAGGATACTATCAGGGTCTTGATGAAATCAACAAAGATTTTCATTTTTCTTTAGGATTTTAGAGAGTTTATTTGTGGGTAAATTGGGTGGGTTAAATGGGTAATGGGTAGGTTTTGAAATTTGTGTTAAAAATTTGGTCAACTCGGGTTATGGCGTAGGATTGTGCCACGTGCACACAAGAAGTGCTACGTTAGTGGGAGGGGTAAATGTGTACTGATTATTGGACGACAAGGGCTTTGATGAACGAAGCGTATGACGTAGGGTATTGACATACCATTTTCGAAAGTTTGGGGGTATATTTGTCCTTAAATAAATTGAAACGTTGGAGTATTACTTATCTTTGACTCTTGGTTTGCTGAATACCCTAATTACTTGTCCACTTTTCCTTTTTTAGTTGTCCGTAATTACTTGTCCATTTTGATAAATCAAGAAAGGACAAAATATTTTTACCTATTATACCCTCAATTAATTACTTTGAAAAAGATAGAACTTCTTGAAAATCTTAAGTTTTTAATCCATCAACTTTATAATTAATAGGGGTAAAATGATAAACTCGCTATGTCAATAATTGTTTTCTTAATAAGTGTGTCAATTCAAAAGTGAACAAGTAATTAGGAACAGAGGAGTAATTAAGGGTTTTTTTTATTGGTTATTTGTAGAGAAACAAGTCGATAAAAAGGAAGAAAGACAAATCATCTACTAAGCACGATATTAAGACGTAATCACAATTAGTCATTTTGTCTGGCAGATACTAAAGGACAAAACATTTAAAGTACTTGAAAATAAATAATGGAGTATTGCTTTAATCCTGTGACGATGTATACTTTTAGCACGGGGGTTTAGGTAGGATTATGGAATATTTTTTAGGGTTTTTGGTGCCTAATATTTAATTATTGTGAAAATATTAGTTTAATCTATCATTGAGTACTAGGGCAACGTATTAAATGAAACCTAGTGATATGTTAAATATCATTTGGTGTCCCTATCATAGGATCTTTGTATCCATTCTTGATTTTATCCACAAATTAAATTTGTCGCACAATGTGCTATGTTTATGGTAAGACCCACTTCTTACTACTTTTTTTGTTAGAAGAAAAAAGAAAAAGTGAAGCTTGTAAGTTGCAACTCTACTTGCATGGCTTAAGATAAGGTTACTCTCTCTGTTTCTATTTATATGTCGATTTATTCACGTATATAGAAGAAAGATTGGTTTGAAAGGACCAATACAATTATAGATTTTACATCTTTTAAGAAACTAAATAAGTTTATCATAATGTCCTTATTTAGTGATTTTTTGGAGTCAAGTTTTCAATAAATGAATATAAATTATATCACTTTGATTAATTAAATTAACCAATGAACATGAATTAATTATTTAGTTTTTCTATGTTGGTAAAATTCATACTTTCATAAAGTTAATAACTCTCAAGGGTAAAATAGCAAGAATAAATTCATTTATGCACTAAACCTGTGAAATAACAAAGAACGACATATAAATAAGAACGAAGAGAGTAGTACACTGCTGACCTATATAGTATAACCTTTTTTAAAAATAAAAAATAGGGTAGGGAAAGAAGAAATACGAAGGGGATTAATTGTTTGTTATTACTGTTAATGGCTGATCTACTACGCATATTTTTTCTATTTGATTGTCTTGTTTTTGAGTTATTGATAAGAAGTTTAATAAAGTAAAAATAAACTTTTTAATTTGATGATCTTAAATTAAAGATATGTTGACTTTACTAAAATGTTCTTTGATTTCGTGGTATTAAACATGTCACGTGAAAATTAAAAATTAAAAAACGGTCAAAAAGAGAAAAAGACATTTTTTTTAAACGGACTAAAACAAAAAAGTGGACAACGTCCAAGTGAAATGGAGGGAGTATAAAATTTTAATCTTTTTTTTTTAAATCGAGAGAAAACTGTTGTGTTACGTGTTCCATATGTGCTAGCCAACTATCAATATATTTTTTGACAATCAAAGTCATCTTGATCATCTATCGTAGAAAAAGAAGATAACATGTCGTATTTTCAAGATTATATTATGAATTCACTTGGCGGGGTTGAGAAGAGATAATTAAACCTCCAACATGTAGCCTCATTTCACAAAGGAGAATTCTCATTACAAATCATATCTCTCATCTCATAAGTTACAAGATGGATGCAGCATGATGCTTTTCTCTCATATTGTTTCATGAGATCTTGCAAAAATACGTTAATTCTCGTTAACGAAATAAGAAAGAAAAAAGAAAAGAAAAGGACATGACTTCAAAAAGGAATAAGAAAAACGAAAATTGTAAAAAAGCAATTGATCAACTCCAACCTATGCTCGTATCCTTCAAAAATATCATGCAGGATACATTTTTAAAAGATTCGACACATATATAATAGAGACATTTTTAGAGGATCCGAGCATCATATGTTGGCACACTAGTTAGTTGGAGGCAAAGAGTGATGTTGAGGGTCAGGTCCACCAGGTGCAACTCTATCTGAACCGCCTTTTAAAGATCGCCTCGTATACTCCTCAATCTCCGTTAGGCTAAATCCGGCCTTACTAAGAACAAAATGACTATCATATTTGGTCTGAACAACTTGAAGATCACCAAGAATGCGACCCTCCAAAGAAATGAAGTGACAAAAAAGAAAAATAATCATGAAGAGGATTAGTAACATTTTTGATGATGAATTAGCCATGTGAATATTAATTAATTATGCAAAGAACAATTAATGAAAGGTTTTTGGCTAATTGAGTTGAAAGAGGGTGTATAAGTGTTGTTGTTGCATGGAGATTATGATGGATAATTCTATTTATAAGGAAGAAAAATGAATATTATATTGATAATGGAGAGAACATGCATGATCAAAATTAATTTTGTAGTTAGGTGGACTAAAACAGACAAACCTCCAGCATGGATTCTCCAATATCATCTAAAAGATTTGAGTCTTTACTGGATTTTTTAATTGATATCTTTATAAGGATGTGTTTTTTTTCTAATATATTCATATGGGAGAATTCCACTTTTACTCCACCAAATGAAAAAAAACAAAAACATAACCTAGGATAGAACATAGATGGAAGCTTTGTCAATTTAGTAGAACCAATGTAATTGTGTGATTATTATACCTATGATTAGTGCTTGTAGCTTTCTCTTTTTTCTTCTTTTCTATTTTGGTGCGTGTGAAATTCAGATGAAATATAATTTACCAAGTCAAATTAAGGTATTGAAAAAGTATCATAAGGAATTGAAATGGATGTCTTGACTAAACAAAGAGTTTCTTCAATAAATTACATTGTAGTGGCAAAGCTAGAAATTTTGTTAAGGATATTCAAAACTATAGTATATACTGTATATATAAATTGTTTTTGACCTATAATATTATTTTCTTTATGCAAGAAACAATTTTTGGACGATGAGTGTTCAACTGACCACCTTAGATCAATGTAGCTACGTCATTGCTATATGGTACCAATAACAAATATTCAAAAGATTTGGGAAACTTATATCAACACTAAATATTCCCTCCATTCTAATTTAGTATTTGATATATATATAAGAGAATTGAAGACTTTTGAAATTTGTGATCTAAAATATATTTGTATTTGTGTAACGATAAAACTTTTGAAATTTGTTGCTTCAAACGTTCCATAATATTGGTATTATTATAAAAATCTCTACCTAAGAGTAAAATGAGAAGTATACAATCGATTGCAATTTTAATTTTTTAGTTTTTTCAAAACTAACAAAAAAATATCACATAAATTGAAACAGATTATGCGATTTGTTTGCTTTAACATGAGTCATCTGAAGCATCAAGATAAGATTCTCCCCACAAAATGAGTCAGTTTCTTCTTTTGCTGCTAATTAAAGAGGAATAAATAGAGGCTAAAAATTAAAACAACTCAAATGTTAGCCGTAAAGGTTTGCTATTGTGAAATTTTAATTCAAAGTCAGCCTCTTTTGCCTTAATTTAAAGTTGTATATATTTTATTATATAGTTAAAGGAACAAATTTATTGTTATACATAATGACTTTTTATTAAAGGTATATCAACTCGTTGGCCTACAAAAATACTCTACTACTCTAGCTATCTAGCTCCTATGCCTCTCAACAAAATCTGAGATTTTTCTTGTGAAAATACAATTATATCTTTTGACTAAATATACTCCCACATGATCATGTTACTTTATTTAACCTCATCTCATAGTAATCATAATCATCTCTATCCAAATTCCATGGTTGATAATGTTTAAATCTTTTATATAACCTCATCTCATAGTAATCATAATCATCTCTATCCAATTCCATGGTTGATTAATGCTTAAATCGTTTACATCAATTTGTGATTATCTCATTTAAAAAAAATTTAAAAAAATTCTAGTTCTTTTATTATCTGTTCCAATTATATGATAAAATTAATTCATAAAAAAGTGATATAACTAATTTGCTCATGTATTTATTCAAGTTAGTTTGATCGATCAACATATTTCAACTCAAGTAAAAGGGCTATTTTGGGCCAAGTATTTAGCTCAAAATAATCCATAAAGATCATGTCAAAATATGTCGTATACCATCTTAATAAATAAATTATTTGTTTTGTTTGGTCATTAAACAAATTATTATTTTTCTTAAAAAAAAATACTAGATTAGTAAATATTGGACAAGTTGAACTATGAACCAATCTAAATTACTTAGCTCATCTTAATCTTAGCACATTTGTGCAAGTTAATGATTTACTAATTCATACTTAGATCGATTTAAACTCAAATTCAATTCAACTCGTTCATCTTATTGGTCGAACTGCCCCTAGTATATATTGGCAGTTGGCTTAGCCAACGATCACCCGACAAGCAGTTGCAAATAGACAATTTGACTGTCTGTTGCTCCTAGAGTTCATATCAATTATTTATACATTAATTATTTGTCCTTCAGTACTATTGCATTATCCTTAAAATTACACAAAATTGAAAAAAATATATATA